GCAGGAGGATCCCAGGACTGTTGTCATTCTCATCCAGGATAAAAACCTTCACGGTCACGTTGCTGTTTAGAGGAGGGTCACCAGAGTCTGTGGCCAGAATTTGAAATTGAAACGTTTTCATTTCTTCGTAATTAAATGACTGTAAGCTGTATATCTCCCCACTGGCCGAATTAACGTTTATTACACTAGAAAGCGGAACTCTGGCTGAAGAGCCTTCAATGAGCGAGTAAGAAACTCGGGCGTTTTCGTTTTCATCCGGATCAGCCGCAGACACGGTATATATAACGGTCCCGATCTGATTGTTCTCTTTTACATAGATATTTATTAGCGGCTCTGGGAAACGCGGTGCGTTGTCGTTCACATCAGAAATGTGCACGATAATGACGCTGGTGCTGGAGAGAGGCGGGGTTCCCTCATCTGTAGCTGTGATGGTGACGTTGTATTGAGGAGCGATTTCCCTGTCCAGCGGTCCGGCGACCACTAGTGAATAATAGTTTTTAATAGAAGTCTGCAATTTAAAAGGAAAAGAACCGACTATATCGCAATTCACCATTCCATTTCTGCCTCCATCTTTATCCGAAACTGTAATCAGCGCCACAGTTGTTCCGTTAGTTGCGTCTTCCTTTAAACTTTTCATTAGTGGAGTGATTGATATTTCTGGGTGATTGTCATTCAAATCAATAACTTCGATTATAACTTTACATTGTGTGCCCAGTGGTGGGACGCCTTTATCAGTAGCTTCTACGTGTATTTCAAAGGCAGGATGTTCTTCATAATCAATACTCCCTTTCACCGATATTTGACCAGTATAGGGATCGATACTGAAAACGTCCAAGTTAACGCTTTTGTGCTGAACCATTGAGTAAAGTATTTGGCCATTTACTCCATCATCCGGATCAGTCGCAATCAGTGTTATTACGGATGTACTGTATGGAACATTCTCATTTAGTTTAGCCTTATACAACGGCTTGCTAAACGCTGGGGTGTTGTCATTCACATCCATCACGTTCACAGTGACCTGCAGGGTTCCCGACCTGGGAGGTTTTCCGCCGTCAACAGCAGTAACTACTAGCGATATTACGGCCTGTTTCTCTCGGTCCAGTGCTTTCAGTAGCATTAAGACAGCAGCCACGCTCTGGTCACCTCCGCTCTGTACATCCAAACTAAAATGCTCATTCTGGCTTATCTTGTATGTTTTCACCGAGTTACTCCCCACATCAGGATCTTCTGCCATAACAACAGCGATTTTTTCCCCTGGATTAGCAATTTCTGTTATATTTAAATCGATCTTATTCCGTGGAAAAAATGGTGCGTTATCATTTACGTCTAACACATTAATTTCTATGCGGTGAAGATTTAAAGGATTGTGAATAATGGCTTCTAAAAATAAACTACATTTCAGAGCACCAGAACACAGTTCCTCTCGGTCGATTCTCTCATTCACAAACAATGCGCCACTTTTTAAATTTACCTCAAAATATCTCCTGCTGGAACCCGACACAATCTGAAACATCCGCGACTCCAGTTCATTGACATTAAGACCCAGATCCTTCGCTATATTTCCAACCACGGTTCCCTTGCTCACCTCCTCTGACACGGAGTACACAACCTGTCCATCGGATGAATCCCATAAACAAAGGAGTGTTAGCAACCATATCCAGTCACATTTCACACGAACAAAATCATCCATCGCTATGTTCTTCACATCCGATCCTTTGAGGTGAGAGCAGCCAACATATTAAAGTATACAGAGATATAGGCCTATAGATAAATAGATAAATCGGCGACCGCATACGAGGCCTGTAGTATTTCTCTAACACGTTACCGTACAGCTTATCGTTTCAGCACAGAGCATTCCGTTCTGCATCTTATTGAAGGTGGGGCCTAGACAGGAGATGTTCAAGTTTTTAAACTCGCGGTCAACAGCGACACCGTGTGTTGTCTCTGATTAACTGGTTAAATCTCAGGCTGGTTATCCATCCATCCATTCATCCATCCATCCATTCATCCCTCTTCCAATAGTTTAATTTGATCCGGATCTCAGAAATAGTAGTTCTTATTTACGGAATGAAGACATTCAGTTGATAAAAACTTCAGAACATGCTGCTTCGCGATATTGCAGTATACTTGATTTTCTTTACACAAAACTCTGTACTTATTATGACTCCATTTCCCTATTTAAAATATAATTATTATCACTTATTAAGTTTATGTTTTTTGTTTTGTTTTACTACTTAGGAAAATAATAAAATTAAATATAATAACTGACAACTCAGGCTGCACTGCAGTTACTCCAACTTGCTGGATGTTATGCTACAGAAGAAATAGAGATATTTTCTCTGCTTTGCTCTATACTGTTTCAAATAAAGCATATTGAACAATAATTATTCTTCTGTTAGCTTCATGAGACGGCTTTTTAATACAAATGTTCAGAAATTCCAAAAAAAAATTACTTTTCAAAATGCATGAAAAGAATTTGACGAAAAAAAAAACAAGTGTAACATGTCATTGACAGTCAACAATATGCCATGAGAACCAAAGTCACACTTACCAATCAGCAAAGCAAACTGGTTGAAATACTGCACCAAGGCTCACTGTTAATGATAAGTAAGGCACCACGTTTTAAAGCATCATCTCAGATATCATGTCTAAAGCAAAAAGGAACTCTACTGAAGATCCAACGCATGTTGGCATAAAGGTCCCATCAGGCTGAA